GCCAGTGTCTGCTGTTTCAGAGCCAGAGCCGGAGGCAGTGTCTGCTGTTCAAGTAGATCTCTCTTTGCTAAACGAGAGCTACCCGCCTTAAAATACACCATGTGCTTGCGGCTAGCTCTCCCTTTTGACGGCAAACCGCCTCTCGCGCTCCCATGTTTTCTTCCCTCATCGAGCCTCGACGGCAGAAGCTTTCGGATATTGAAGGTCTGCCTCCTTTAATAGTGTCCGCCGTCCGGGTGAAACAGTATGCTATTTTTATTTAACCGGTACAGTGGCCGGTAGGTGAAGTGAGTTTAACCGCCACAACACAAAATCACCCGCATTTGGCTGGTGGCAGGTGCTAATTTCCATCCCTGTTCCAGAGCCGGAGCCAGTGTCTGCTGTTCCAGAGCCGGAGCCAGTGTCTGCTGTTACAGGAGCCCGTGTCTGCTGTTCCAGAGCCGGAGCCAGTGTCTACTGTTACAGGAGCCCGTGTCTGCTGTTACAGGAGCCAGTGTCTGCTGTTACAGGAGCCAGTGTCTGCTGTTCCAGAGTCGGAGCCAGTGTCTGCTGTTACAGGAGCCAGTGTCTGCTGTTCCAGAGTTGGAGCCAGTGTCTGCTGTTCCAGAGCCGGAACCACTGTCTGCTTTTCCTGAGCCGGAGCCAGTGTCTGCCGTTCCAGAGCCGGAGCCATTGTCTGCTGTTACAGAGCCGGAGCCACTGTCTGCTTTTCCTGAGCCGGAGCCAGTGTCTGCCGTTCCAGAGCTGGAGCCAGTGTCTGCTGTTCCAGAGTCGGAGCCAGTGTCTGCCGTTCCAGAGCCGGAGCCATTGTCTGCTGTTACAGAGCCGGAGCCACTGTCTGCTGTTCCAGAGTCGGAGCCAGTGTCTGCTGTTCAAGTAGCTATCTCTTTGCTACACGAGAGCTACCCGCCCTAAAATACACCATGCGCTTGCGGCTAGCTCTCCCTTTTGACGGCAAACCGCCTCTCGTGCTCCCACGTTTTCTTCCCTCATCGAGCCTCGACGGAAGAAGCTTGCGGGTGTTGAAGGTCTGCCTCCTCTAAAAGTTTCCGCTGTCCGGGTGAAACAGTATGCTATTTTTATTTAACCGCTACAGTGGCCGGTAGGTGAAGTGAGTTTAACCGCCACAACACAAAATCACCCGCATTTGGCTGGTGGCGGGTGCTAATTTCCATCCCTGTTCCAGAGCCGGAGCAAGTGTCTGCTGTTCCAGAGCCGGAGCAAGTGTCTGCTGTTCCAGAGCCGGAGCCAGTGTCTGCTGTTCCAGAGCCGGAGCCAGTGTCTACTGTTACAAGAGCCCGTGTCTGCTGTTTCAGAGCCGGAGCCAGTGTCTGCTGTTCCAGAGTCGGAGCCAGTGTCTGCTATTCCAGAGTCGGAGCCAGTGTCTGCTGTTCAAGTAGCTATCTCTTTGCTACACGAGAGCTACCCGCCCTAAAATACACCATGCGCTTGCTGCTAGCTCTCCCTTTTGATGGCAAACCGCCTCTCGCGCTCCCACGTTTTCTTCCCTCATCGAGCCTCGACGGAAGAAGCTTGCGGGTGTTGAAGGTCTGCCTCCTCTAAAAGTGTCCGCTGTCCGGGTTAAACAGTACGCTATTTTTATTTAACCGCTACAGTGGCCGGTAGGTGAAGTGAGTTTAACCGCCACAACACAAAATCACCCGCATTTGGCTGGTGGCGGGTGCTAATTTCCATCCCTGTTCCAGAGCCGGAGCAAGTGTCTGCTGTTCCAGAGCCGGAGCCAGTGTCTGCTGTTACGGGAGCCAGTGTCTGCTGTTCCAGAGTCGGAGCCAGTGTCTGCTGTTCGCGCGTCTAGCTCTTTGCTACATGAGAGCTACCCGTCCTTAAATACACCATGCGCTCGCGTCTAGCTCTCCCTTTGGACGGCAAACCGCCTTTCGCGCTCTGTCTGCTGTTCCAGAACAAGAGAAAGTGTCTGCTGTTCCAGAGCCGGAGCCAGTGTCTGCTGTTTCAGAGTTGGAGCCATTGTATGGTGTTCTAGAGCCAGAGTCAGTGTCTGCTGTGACAGGAGCCAGTGTCTGCTGTTCCAGAGCCGGAGCCAGTGTCTGCTGTTCCAGAGCCAGAGCCAGTGTCTGCTGTTCCAGAGCCGGAGCCAGTGTCTGCTTTTCCAGAGTAGGAGCCAGTGTCTGCTGTTCCAGAGCCGGGACCAGTGTCTTCTGTTCCAGTGTTGAACCAGTGTCTGCAGTTCGCGCTTCTAGCTCTTTGCTACACGAGAGCTACCCGCCCTAAAATACACCATGCGCTCGCGTCTAGCTCTCCCTTTGGATAGCAAACCGCCTCTCGCGCTCTGTCTGCTGTTCCAGAGCCGGAGCCAGCGTCTACTGTTACAGGAGCCGGTGTTAGCTGTTCCGGAGCCGGAAAAAGTGTCTGCTGTTCAATAGCTGGAGAAAGTGTCTGCTGTTCCAGAGCCGGAGAAAGTATCTGCTGTTACAGAGCCGGAGCAAGTGTCTGCTCTTTCAGAGCCAGAGAAAGTGTCTGCTGTTCCAGAGCCAGAGCAAGTGTCTGCTCTTTCAGAGCCAGAGAAAGTGTCTGCTGTTCCAGAGCTGGAGCCGGAGCAAGTGTCTGCTGTTCCAGAGCCGGAGAAAGTGTCTGCTGTTCCAGAGCCGGAGCCGGAGCAAGTGTCTGCTCTTCCAGAGCCGGAGCAAGTGTCTGCTGTTCCAGAGCCGGAGCAAGTGTCTGCTGTTCCAGAGCTGGAGCAAGTGTCTGCTGTTTCAGAGCCGGAGAAAGTGTCTGCTGTTCTCAGATCCTAGGCTGCCTACAGAGACACGGTTTTTTTTTTTTTTTTAGTTTTAGGGTTTTTTTTTTTTTGACGGCCTGCTAATGGGGCGGGCAGCTAGAGGATCGTTAGGAGATTAGATGAATGTGATAATTTATGTTTGGGCCTTTTTTGGGCCTGAAATTGCTGATACAACCTTTACTGTTTCATGATCTTTAACTTGATCTTTTTTATCTACTTCTAGAATCAAGCAGATGTGACAGCAATGCACACTCTTGTGCTCCAGGGATTACCTATCCTGCTTGGAGATGATGCCAGCAATTTCTACAACACTTGCTATGTAAGTTCTCATTGAAATAATTTTTGAAAGGGTTACTTCTCCCCAAAAAAAAATATTTGCATTAATTGAACTTCTGTGCTCCACTGAAAGATTTTTTTTTTTACCAAAAACTCTACTAGTTACCAAAACTTTTCATAATTTAAGTATTAAAATCAAACAGTATTAAAATAAGTATTAAAATTTTTGACAAAATGACAAAAAAAATTTCCAAACTTTTCACCACAAAAATGATTCCGTGATGCAAACTTTTCTCCAAAGAAAATGGTGTAATATTACAACTCATTAGTTCAGTGTTGACTTCATCACATCATTGTAAAGACCATAATTTGTATAAACAGTGATGTTATCTCCTAGTTCTGTTCAATTCTCATACAATTTAATTAATATACCATTGAATATTTAAGAGTCGGGGATAAAACAAAGAATATAATGATAAATACTTAATTGGACATGTATTAAAGGCAGGTCAGATAACTGAAAATGAATCATGCCTTGGCACATTTCCCTGTTGTTATATTTTTATTGTTTGGTTTCATTCAGGTATGTGATGTTGATGAAGCCTGGGCACACGCATCAGTTGGGCTGCTGACTGTCATGGATGAAGAAGCTCTTTCTCCAAATAAGCTATACCTTTGCCCAGTGTCTACTGCAATTATTCTGGAGAGAGGTATCATAATGGATAACTTGCAGAACCTGCCTCAGGCCATTTGCGTCTTATGCTTTGAATTTGGACTACCCAAAAGACATGAAAAACACTCTTAATTTTATTCAAAAAGTGATGCTTGGTTTGGGACAGAGCAAACTCCCACCAAAACTACAATCTCTAAAAAAAATCTCCTGATGAGTTAGAATGTAATCGTAATCAAATGAGTGATGTTTGGCAGTTGATTTGTTTATTAAAGTGGAAATAGATTAATTGATAGAAAACTAAGCACTTTTTTAAATTGTCAGCCCATTTATAAGCAAGTTAAGCAAGGTTTATAAACAAGTTAAGCAAGGTTTTTAAGCAAGTTAAGTAAGGTTTATAAGCAAGTTTAGAGTAAAGCTTACTTGTTATTTTTAAGGCAATCGGTTTGCATGGTTTTGACAAGTAAACTGAATTGCTTTTGAAGTAAAGTAAACTCAGTAATTCCAAGTTCTATGCAGAAAACATCAGAGTTAACACAACTAGTATAAATTAGTAGTTAGGAATAATCACTAAGTATATTTTACTTGAAATTATTTAGTTGTTAAAAATAGTAATTCTGAGTAGTCTATACTAAGAAAAGTACATCTAAAGTAAAGTATCAATTATACTATACAAATTTGTTTTAAGTTACTACAACTCTCTTGTAAGTGTACAATACTAGACAGACACTTGTTAGTACTACAGACTATTCCTCTTTCACTTTACTCGTTTTTTTTTTCCCAAGACAATCGATTTGCATGCTTTTTTAAGTAAGGTTTAAAAATTGGATTTTACAGTGAATGCAGTTCAATTCGAAAACACGAAATCACAGATAATTCATATTGCCTTATCTATAAGCTAAGGATTAGAGCTCTGTTTTGGTTGTGCTTTAATATGTACACTGTAAGACAAACAAAAATAGTAGAAAAACGGATTAGGCACTGGCAATTTTCTGCCAAGACAGTAGATGTTAAGTTTACATACATTTCCTTCAATCCTAAAACACAGCACAATCCAATGCATAATTCAAAATACATGTAAAACCCTTGTGTTCTGTTCTTACAGACTTTTCTTATTGTATCCCAAGATACCTACACTTAAACGTAAGTTCCATGTGTAAAGCTGATGTAGTGCACAGTTGCTCCTCTAAACCACATTATGCTATGATTATTCACCAAGAAATTAATAGTTCAATGTTGAGCTCTCCTCAGCCCTCCAGCGGTGGGAGATCATCTCTTGGAGCAGGGCATCTCAGCTCACCGGACTATTTTTGAAGTTGCATTGTGCCAGTGTCTTTTGTAGAAAAGTGCTCCCATTCCCACAACCATGATGCAAGCGAATGCCAGGATGCCCACAGCTACGCCGAGACCCACCGAGGAGTCCACTGGTTTTTTCGTACTGAATGACACATCTGAGATGCAAAGACATGAGGTCAGATTGACAAAGCTAAAAGCAAAAAGTTGTTACACTCTAAAAAATACTGTGTTCTTTCAACCCAACTTTGGGTCAAATATGGACAAATATGTTTAATTACATTTATAACCCAATGTTTGGGTTTGGCCTACAACCTAAAGCATTTTTAGTGGAACTTCAAAAGTTTAGAGTTTATTTTTAAAGAAATCCCTACTTTTGTTCAGCAATTCAGGACATTTATAAATGTTATAAAATATTTCTATTTCAAATTAATGGTGTATTTTTATTTCTATTCATCAAAGAAGCCAGTTAACACATAAATATTAAGCAGCACAACTGTTTTCAACATTGGTAATAATATATGAAGAGTTCAGATGCAAAAGCCTCTAAATGCCTTTTCTTCTTTAATGATGATTTTTATCAAACTTGTATATTAAAGTTCAGTAATTTCACTTAAATGGCAATGATAATTACCTATTAATTGTTATTTACGTGAAATTACTGAACTTAAATATACAAGTTTGATAAAAATCATCATTAAAAAAGAAAATTTCAAATGGCATTTAGAGGCTTTTGCATCTGAACTCTTCATATGTTTCTTAAACATCAAATCAGCATATTAGAATGATCATGTGACACTGAAGACTGGAGTAATTAAATACATTTCATATTAAAACATTTTAAAATATAATAAAATAGAACAATAACACAACATTACCGTATTTTTGATCAAATAAGTTAGACTTATAGAGACTCATTTTAAAAACCCTACTGACTCCAAACTTTTGAAGGACATTTTAAAACTATTTAAGGGAGCAATTTGAATTTATATTCAAAATATATAATCTTAGTATTATTATTTATAGTAAATTCATTTATTCATAACAGTGTTTCTATGGCCAAATAAAAAAAAAAACAGTGATAGACAGCAGTGGTTACTGTACATTCATCTATATAAAGATCTGCCTCACATACGTTTCTTTTTTTTATCTGGTTCATTCACATGATTTATCTGAACAAATTGATTCACTAAAACTCTCCAACACTGGCCAAATATTACATTACATATCAAACAGTTAATGCTCACCTTCCTCTTTTGTTGCCATCACTGAAATGAAATAAACAGAATGGAATTAGTTTCTCAGAAAGCAATGTAGGAAACTTAAAACTCATAGTGTTACATTAATGATTCATTTTGTTTTCAAAGGGACTTACCGTTCTCTGCACGTATGACGATGGCTGGTGACGTGATGGTAGTGCTCTCTGAGACTCCATTTGAAGGACTGATGGGAGCAACGTCTCTCCTTTTTCGTTTGCGACATTGCTGTGGAAAGAGCCATAGATCCTGGTTAGTCCAAAAAGTGTCCGGTCCAATACTTGTCTGGGTAGGTGAACTGTGTGTGTGTGTGTTCAAATGCCCCCACAAAAAAAGCAAAGCTTGGCAAAACCACTGTATAGTGACACTAACATATGATACAGCATAATGCAAACAATATGATCCAGACCAAGCCAGTAGGTCCTTCTTTTCTGGTTAGACTTAATTTCTAAAAGGCTCATTTAAATGGATACTTCACCTCTGGAAATATGAATGTGTATTTAAAAAAATGGGTCATTTATGAAGAAGAAATGTGAATTATTTTTGAATTTGGAGCTTTCTAAACTGAGAAAAGCCAGAAAATGTATTGAAAGACGAAATGGATGAAAGACAACAACTCCCAACAACAACAAGTATAGGCTACTAGTGAGTCTCCATGATTAGTCTGCCCGAAAATGTGTTTCGAGATCGCCTAAAATGTCAGGGATTCGGCTTTTGCGTTCAACAGTCGCCATTCATTATGTTTACTGTGGCGAGCGGGACGAGTGTGGGCCGCAGGAGAATGGCGCGAGGCCGGTGGCGTGATTAACGATGAGCGACACCTGTGAGACGCACCGGTCTTGTATCTCCCATGGAGGAGCGGGAATTTTCTTAGCAATGTTAAATCTGCATAACATTGCTATGAACATTGCTAAGATTTTTTCCTGATAAAAAAATACATAAATCTCTCGTCTCAGGGGTATATGAGAGTGGAAAACATGGTAATTCAAAAATACAACAGGTTTTCTACTAATATAAGCTTAATGCTGAATGCTGAAGTATCCCTTAAGAAGAAATTATGTTAATGGGGAGTTTATGTTTTATGTGTGTATGGGTTTACCCTAAATGCAGCGCAGGTTGATATTTCACACAGTCTTGTGATGCAGTGTAGATAGTACGTCGACACTGTCTGGTTCTGCTGCTCTGTGAAGCGGAAGGCAGGGAACGAGAACCGAGCAAGCTGCATCTCCCCGTTCACCAGCATTTTAGTCAGCCGATCCATTTCACAACTAATCAGGCAAATCATCAAACTAATTATTCTGTCTCAGGCCCTCCAAACACTTGCAGACAGATTTTATCATTACAAACATGGCTTTTGTACATGGTACAGTCATAGTACATGTCCAAAACAACACAATAGCATTGCACCATGTACACACAGCATTATATATGACTAGTAATTGTCCAGTAATAGGGATGCACCGATATGAAATAATTTTTAAGAGCCTGATTACAAAAACAAAAGCCTCAACATGTAAAACCATGTCCCAAGCACACAATTATAATGACATACAGTTTTATGTAGATTATTTTACAGACTTGTGATGCATGTTGCCTTTCCCACTTTTTTGTAGAGATTCCAATCATTTTTCAAGCAATTCAAAACAATCATGGCGAACAGTGCGCATCTGAAGTTTCTCAGCTGAAGGATATAATAAATTATTTATCAAGTTTAATATATCGGCCAAATTTTCATACCATAACATATATCAGCCGATCCTGATATGGTGGCCGATATATATTGTGCATCCCTCCCTCTCCAGTACCATAGTATAGGTCTAAGTACAACTAAGGTATTTGACACCCCCATACAGCCACAAAACATGTTCAAGGGTTAACATACATCAATACGCTGATTTCATGCAGCCGCCATTTTGAAATCGAAAGTGAGGCTCCAGTGAGAAGAACCCCGAAAGTAAAGATAAACAACAATAATGTTAATATCCAATATAGGATATGTATATAGTTTGTTCCTGGTTCTTTTTTTACTTTCTGAATTGTATGTAAAAAAATATATACATATTATTTATAAATTAATTTCACTGTATATAGTCTAAAGTATACAGAAGCGTATCGCATTTTACTCTTTTTCTGAATTAAGGAGTTAATTATCTCAGAATTATGAGATTATTTTTCATGGAAAAAGTTTTTGCTCTGTTTTTCTGAATTAACGAGTGAATTATCTAAGAATTATGAGAGAATTTTTCACGGAAAATGTTTTTGCTTTGTTTTTCTGAATTAACGAGTGAATTATCTCAGAATTCTGAGATAATTTTTCACGGAAAAAAGTTTTTGCTCTGTTTTTCTGAATTAACGAGTTCATTATCTCAGAATTACAAGATCATTTTTCACAGAAAAAAGTTTTTGCTCTGTTTTTCTGAATTAACGAGTTAATTATCAGAATTACAAGATCATTTTTAATGGAAAAAAGTTTTTGCTCCGTTTTTCTGAATTAACAAGTTAATTATCTCAGAATTATGAGATATTTTTCATGAAAAACATTTTTTTAATCTGTTTTTATGAATGAATGAGTTACTCATCATTTTTATATAATCAAGTCATTAATTCAGAAAAACACAGAGCAAAAACATTTTTCCGTAAAAATTTATCTTGTAATTCTGAGATAATTAACTCGTTAATTCAGAAAAAACAGAGTCGATTTTTTTTCTTCAAGTGAATGCAATACACTTCCGTAAAAGTATGAGAGATGTACATTATTAGAATAACAAATTTTTACCTTAAACAAAACAATACGCCAACGCATTCACAACTCTCCTGCAATTCTCCTGGTTTACTTCCCACCGGAGCCTCGCTTTCGATTTCAAAATAACGGCTGTGTGAAATCACCGAATTATACTGCATTATGTTTGTAGTTTGGGTTACATTTTGTATTGGATTTATTTGATGAGTCAGTCAATACTTTCAGTTTTATTGCACTTCAATTTTGATAATTCATATTGCCTTATCTATAGGCTAAGGGTACTACAATATGATTGTAGTTTGTACATAAAAACAATTTATTAAAAATATATAAATTATTATATAATAATAATAAAAAAAGTTTTATGATTAAACTTACGGCACGAAGAGGTTGAAGTAGTTTTTGGTGGTGGGTGCAATGGAAGTGGAGGCAAAGCATCTGTCCAGCAGCAAAAAGTACCTGTGAAGGACATAATAATGGTCAACTTCAACACAAAACTGCTCGATTTACTGCCAGGATGATACTCAATGAAACATGTCTTACTGGGAGGTCAAGTTGGTGGCCTCCACCTGCACAAACACATTTGTCCTCAGTTCAATACCAATGGGAGGCATGTGGAGAGGCTGGGTGTAGTTTACGTCCTGAGAAATGAAACAAAATAAATTCAAATAAATAAATATTTTATATTAGCCTTTGCTTATAGCTGATCTAATCTATGGATGCATGAAGGTCCAGTTTAAGGACTGACATACACTGAAGAGTCTGAGCCTCATAGTGCTGATGAAACTGCCATTGTTGTCTTTGACTGCAATCGAGGAGGACGCCCTTTGAGAAGACAGAACAAGGTTAAAGCTTACTTGAAACAGCTTACAATTACTCAACAGACTAGACATCTGTCTATGTGTCATAGTGTTTCTCTATTGTGAATTTGATATTGTCTCCCTGTCCCTTGACGACAATAACAACATGGATGGATTGGAATTGGATTTTGTGTTGTTAGAGTGATATTACACCAAGACGCTTATTCCCCAGTGAGTTTTGTTCTTTTATCCCAGGTAAACAGATCTTGCACTTGGTTTGCAGTAGTGTGAGAGGAAATGAGTGCTTACACATCCACTTGAGTGTTGTTGATCAAGTACTCGAGAGGATAGGAGCACGAGTAGTAGTACTTCAGCTCTGCATTATACGTCACGGTGCCTGTTGTGATGTCCCTCGACTTTACAACTCCACTGACGTTGACCGTCTCAATGTTGGAGAAATCTGAGAATATGCCTGTCCCAGCACTCTGATATGTCTGCGGAGAAAAGTTAAAAATGAATCTATCTCTATCTATCTATCTGTCTGTCTGTCCGTCCATCCGTCCGTCTAGCTATTCATCAGTACTTTTCATATATCTTTCTAACCATCTATCTTTCTATCTATCTGTCTGTCCGTCCGTCCGTCCGTCCATCTAGCTATTCATCAGTACTTTTCATCTATCTTTCCAACCATCTATCTTTCTGTCTATCTACCTTTCTGTCTATCTATCTGTCTGTCCGTCCGTCCGTCCGTCTAGCTATTCATCAGTACTTTTCATCTTTTCAAAAAAAATCCCAGATTTTTGCACAAAAAATCCGATTTACGATTTAAATTGATTTTTTTCTGTCCCTACTTAAAATCAATCTGCAGATGACAAAGAAATTGTTCAAAACAAGTTTTAACTTTATTTTGCTTTGATATTCCCTTCTGTGATATTATCTGGATTAAAGTGCAATCAGAAACAATAAGCCAAAAAGACAAGGGCAGGCCCTGTCATTGTAAAAAGTGTAAATGTAAGATAACATGAAATGGGTGGATTGGGATTGTAAAAAAACCCAAAAAACTTGCATCACAATAAGTTTATTGTGATTGTCAAATTATTTGGTAACTAAACATAATTTTATTAGGTTTATTAACCATAAACACAATGTTTACATGGTACAAAGACTGTATGCTACTGTTTTTATTATTGCTTAACACAAATTTCACAATTTCAAAGATTTGATTCTGATATTAATTCAATATCAATTCCTTTGGATAAATATTAGGTACAGTAGATACGTTAATGTGTTATGTTAATTGTTCTCCAAAAATAAATTACCTATTGCTGTAAACATACAGAGAGACCTGTCAGCTGGTATTATTAAAGGTTAAAACTAACTCAAATTAAACATAATGTGTTTTTTATAATAACAAACAACGTTATAATATTTTAATGATATAGGTCAAATATAATAAATGTGTTATATAGTTATCATATTTAGCAAAATGCTCCTCTCTATAGCAATTATTTTAAGTCCAATTAACATGCGTACTATGGGTCATTAAAAGGCATTCCTGAGTCTGGGATAAATGTAACGTTACGTGACACATGTTGTTCTCCAACTTCTCCAGCAGTTTTATGGACATCTTTCCGTGGTTGAAAAACACTGATCGATCGTTTTTATTTCGGTAAGTTAGCAGTAAAGAGTTACAGATGATCGGTTCACGTGCCGCTTGAACTGAGATCTGTTAGTGATCTTTCACGTGATCACGTCACATTTACAAGCGCCAAAACGGTGTTTATTGTTTGAATTTCGTAATAAAATTGACAGAATCTGAGAGCTGAGAATATGTCTCATATCAATAGCAACCTGCTCTGTCTGTTGGTGTCAGTGTCCTCTTGCTCTTTGCTTCGTGATGTTTGTCTGTGTGAGAAAATGGATGTGTGCATGAGAGAGTGTAAAAAGTGACAATTGTGTCTCTCACAGTGGATTTGTGAGAGTTGGCGGCCCTGCAGATTCAGCCTGTAAATGTTTTCGGCGGGTGTGCTTCTGCTGCCGCGGTCTTGTTCGTTTGCCATGTTGTTGGTGTATCTCTATCATAGCAAGCGCTGAGCGCGGTCGGAACTACGGGAGTCCAGATGGCCGCGTCGGCGGTTAAAGAGAAAACCGATTTTCATTCAAAAAAATCTTCGCAAATCGGCGCAAACTACAAATTCGAGTTAATCGATAAAATAGATTTATCGCCCAGCCCTATGTCTATCTATCTTTCTGTCTGTCTATCTTTCTGTCTGCCTGTCTTTCTGTCTGTCTGTCTGTCTATCTATCTATCTCTCTGTCTGTCTATCTTTCTTTCTCTCTGTCTCTGTCAGTGTATTACTCACGATAAAATTGCTGCCACAGGCATTGGTTGAGTTAAGCGGGAACCTGAATCGGGCCACTGGAGGTGAGACGGTAGTGTCGATGGTCCCCATGCAATCTGGGTTATTTATGACATTGTTGAGGATCAAATCTGATTCGTTGTAGCCAGTGTATTGAACAGGACAGAACATGATGGCCAGACTGATGTATTCCGTTCCACATTCCACCGAGATGTCTGTGTACTCTATCGTGACAAGAACGACCGGATCAGTTGTAGAAAAACTGACAAAGTCTTACTTGAGGCACACAAAAAACATTTAAATCGAATAAACAAATGTTTTTTTGTTCATCAGAATTTCAAATCAATACTATACCTGGATGTCTGTAATCTGCTCCACATTCGCTCTGTGTTAACTGAAAGGTTTTGTCGAACTTTGTAGCTAGGAGGACGAGGAAAATGTTGAGGAGAATATAACTCCTGTTGTTTCCTGAATGTGAACCTGTTCATAGAAGAAAATAACACTATATTCAAAATCAGTTAGTCACCATTGGTACATCCAAGAGCTCAGCGCATATCCCACAGTTACACGTCCTGGGACACGTACGCACCTTGTATCATGTTTGCGGTTGGCTTTGGTATCCTCTGCCTGTGGGATCTTCTTGGGAATTGAGAGTCTTTTTATAGAGCACTTTCCTTTGTGGGATGGGATTGGATGAAATAAGGTCAGAGAAGTTTGGTGTGTCCACTGTTCAGAACCAGCCCTTTTGTGAATAAAGTCCCAGAGTCGACTGCCTGAGGGGACTTGCTGAAACTCTACACATGGTGGGCCTTCAAAGACATGCAGTTGACAATGGCCTGGTTTCTATGTCTACTTTACCTAAACATGGATACCCTTGGCATGTCAATATAAGACCTCATAGAGTAAGTGTCCTGCCCCAGGGGGTGGAGACAATACGGCGATGGCTCTTTTGACACTGTACGAAATGTCAGGTATCTCTTATATCGATCCAAAGGTAATCCTAGAAACACAATAAATAAGGATTATAATGCAAAATCCTGTGATTTAGCAATGTAAGTCTAAGCATTTGACTCTTAATGGAAAAAAACCCAAAATGGACAGACAGCTGAGTTATTTGTTGTTGTTTGTTTACTTCTGTTATTCATGGATTATCTGTTTCCATGGTAACATTGTTTTCTTTGGACAAGGGTTTCCCGATATGACAGTTTTAGGCATTGTTATTTGATTTCGGCGAAATGTTAAAGGAAACTGTACTCTTGACATATCCATTGAAATATTGAATATTATATTACAGTTTTTCTTAGTAGATATGGTACATTTCTCAGATCAGAATTGAAATTCTCAAAACTAGATATATTACATAAAAGATATATTACAATTTGTGTTGCTATTATTTATTAAAAAATCTATCTATCTATTTATCTATCTATAATTACAGAACATATGTATCCATCCATCTATACTTACAGAACATATCCATCCATCCATTTATCCATCTATCTATCTATACTTACAGAACATATCCGTCCGTCTGTCCGTCCGTCTGTCTGTCTCTCATCTATCTTCATCCGTCTGTCTATACTTACAATACGCATATTTGAATTTTTATATTTACAATATGTATTTTTATATTTTTATGCAGGTATACCTCAACAAAACTGTTGCAACAACTGTTTACACAAATTAATTCTGCCCATGTTTCATAAAGTAAGCCCACTGGGCATTATTGGATAAACAATTAAATAGATAAGAAATCAGACAACATAATTGCAAGGGTGAGGACAACATTCATTAAGCATCTCAGTGCACTCCAGGGTTTGTTTTGACAGTAATATCTCAATTTAGTCCTGAGTCACTTTGGTTGATCCAATGCTTGACAATACCATCAATCTTGACAAAATACAACATGTTCCCAATTAATGCTTATTAGTCACTTAACACTTTTACACCAACTATTCTTATTCCACCAACAGTATGTCATGCTTTCCTTCAAGTCTGACATGCCAGAAAGAATCACATAACCTACGGCTCAGTCCTTACTTGTCCCAGTAGACTAAATCTGTTATCACATATATCAACAGGTCCAAAAGAAAGACAGCCACTGCGTGTAAACACTGTTAAGTGGTGTAAGGTCAGTGGATTATTCTGTAATGAGAGGGCTCTGCTTTAAGCTGCAAACTAAGCACTTTGTTTCAGCACTTTTCTTTTCTTTCTCTGTGCAATAAGCCATAGATCCAGATAAATCTGTGGAGAATCACATGGGTTTAATATAGCTTAAGCCTGCGTCAGATGCCAGAAGTATGAGATCTTCTTCAAAACAGATTTCTTATCGGCATCCACTTGTAAATATGATGCCAGATCTGGTAACTTTCACTGCTATAGGGTCAAATCATAGGTTGAATGACAGTAATATATTTGATCATAATTCTCATTTACTGCCATAGGGCTACAGGGCCTTTGTTTTGGGATATTGGAGACTTTTTAACTTTTAATTGGCAAAATTTTAATTTGTAGCCTTTAGAATATAACACAATAGGCCTATAATTGCAATAAATACAATACATACTGCTACAAAAGTTTGGTGTGAGTAAGACTTTTTTTATTAATGCTTTTATTCAGCAAGAATGCATTAAATTGATCAAAAGTGAAAATAAAGTCATAATGTTACAAAAGATTTCTATTACAAATAAAGACTGTTCAAAAAATTCAAATCTGAAAAAATGTATCATGGTTTCCATAGTATCACAATTAATAATACAATGTTTCTTGAGCACCAAATCAGCACATTAGAATGAATTCAGAATGATGTGACGCTGAAGACTGAAGTTTATGTATAAAATATCATTTTTATACATACACAATTTTATATGTAATAATAACATTTATCAAAAAATGTGATAAGATTCATATTTATTTAATAATATCATTGTGCTCTCACTTAAATCAAAAGAGCTAATCCTTCCATAATCCATTCTATCCCTACGCTGACACTCAACCCTTTATGGCAGATGAGGATATTCTCGTCAGGATCAAAAGTGGATTTTTATTTAAGAAGGGCTTCCTTGTATATCACTATGGAAACCAGCATTGACACAAATACAATAATAGGCTTATATAAAGCACATTGGCGGTAATATGGTACAGTGATGGTTTCATACGGAGCTATCATTACTTTTATATATATAGATTATGGTACCTGAATGATCACCATGGTATTGGTAAAATATGTCAAAAAAATGTATATTGTTTGCTGACAGCTTCTGCCTTTACACTGCAGCTCAGGACAGAGGGAATTATCCTGTAATGGATTATTTGTTTTTCATATCCAGATGATCCATGATGTCTCATTCCTGCCATTCTGTACCTTTGATTTCTTCACAATTAATTGGGCCATTCATGCATTATGCCAAAATCCCATTAATATTTTCCAGTCAAAGCTAATAAAACTGGAAGTCTTCAAAAGTCTGAATATAGGCTCTTTGTTTATCTGGCTTCATGATGATTACGCTCACACAGCTTTAAAAGCTTGCTTTCTTCAACATGACAGCACTAAATACAATAGAACTGATTAATTGATTGTGATCCCTGTCTGTTTTGTAATTATTACTGCAAAATCACCAAACTAAATATTCAAAGCACATCTGAATTTACTTTATTGTTAAAAAAAAAAAAAAAAACTAGGAAAGAAAGACCTAAGTAATACAAATGTGTCTTTGGGGGGATAATAACATGGGTTGTTACATTTAATTAAATTATCTTGGACATAAATTCCATTCAAATATCTTAAAAAAAAAAAAAAGAATAACTAACACTGAAAATTAGAGTATGTGAAACTACCTGCTAAGACTCATTATTGTTCAGCGGGTATCACAGAGACATATGCATACTAATGAGTAAACACAAATACAATTAATTAAAACTAAAAATATCTTAAACAGTCTTCACATCCACCTCAATCACATAGCATAGTGATTTAGGTTGCTGTTCGACTTAATTAAATTTGTTCCCTATGGTCTTTCTCTCAAACTAATTAGTCATGCACTTGGAATCACTGGTGTCCCATGATCCTTTGTGCCATCGTGATGAATGGACTCCTCACATTCCATCCTATAGCCTCTAATATTTTCACTGAACTAGAAATATGTGTTCGGCAGGTCTATTAGATACCTCAGCTTATGTTCTTCATGTAACTGATCTTAAACCCTGCAATAATGAAGCGAGGGGCAGAGGTATTAACATTAAGTTACACTGCACCAACAGATCCGGATCAATTGACATTTCAAATTAAATACTTGTATAAAACAGTTCGCTGCTCTGTTGATAAGTTAATTTACAAGTGTAATTAAATAAAGCGTGTAAAAAAAATTGAATATTTCACCCAAAAATGAAGATTCTGACTTGATTTTTTTATATATATTTTACACGAGTGCATGAATGAATGCAGACTATGAGCACTTGGACATTAAAGTGGATGTGCTCAGTTCATTTGTAATAAACACTGACTAGCTTGCTAACCAAGATTGTGGTTAAAGAGATCAAAAATGAAAAATTTCACCCAAAAATGAAAATTCTGTCATTATTTATTCACCCACGAGTTGTTCTAAACCCTTATGAATTTCTTTCTTCTACTGAACAAAAATATATTTTGAAGAATATGGGTAACTAAACAGTTGACTTCTATTGGTTTGGTTACCAACAAAATGTCTGGTTTGGTTACCATTTTCTTCGAAATATATTCTTTTGTGTTCAGCAGAAGAAAGAAATTGAATTTGGAACAACTTGAGGGTGAGTAAATGATGACAGAATTTTCATTTTTGGGTGAACTATCCCTTTAAACTGCCGCTCCGCTATGACACACTCTAAACAATACTAGGTTGTTTTAACCCAAATTTGGGTAAAATATGGGCAAACCCTAGCCTGGCAAGCCAGACCTACATCAAGATGTTACAATCAAGATACCTCAATCCGAGAGGTGGGATAAAAGTTTGTCTTTCAATTTCCCTCTGCATGCAATAGAATAGTGTGCCGAAGTTACGAGGTCACTCTGTAGGGCAAAACGCGGAAGTGAGTTAGCATTTTAGCACTCCCGGTTCCCTCGCTCTAAAGTCTATGGGATTTTTTAATGGGTTTTTGCTAAATCGCCTGAAACAAACCCTCTAAATATTTTCACGTTTTGATCTATAACATAGAACACACCAGTTATAACCTGCTTGTGGGTTTTTTAAACTTTATTGTGTCTGCTTGTGTTTTTAAAAAACTTTATATAGGTTTCAAAATGTATAAATTTTGGATTAACTTGTAAAGATTATCTTGATAGACAAAACGTGTAAGGGTCTTATCTTATTTTTTGCGATTTTCCAAAAGTCTATGGGGAAAATGCATAGCTTTTCGATCGAGGGAACCCATGCGCTGCTAGATCCGAGTTGTCCTACAAAGTGACGTCATCACTTCAGCACTCTATTGCACTAACCAACCAGAGCAACGAACGGCTGTGGCTGAGTGAGTCCCATGCGTTTTCCCACTAGCGGAGCTAGTTTATGTATTAAACTTTTGCCGTATATGGTCGTCAAAACTCCAAACACATCTTCCTTTTTTAAGAATGACTTAAGTGACGTTCTCTTAACTCCAAGTCCTCCAGAGTCGCAGCCAAAGCCGAATCGAAAGACCGCTGTTCGTCAGCAGCATCTCGTTTGTTTTCAAGTTGGGTTAAAATTTTAACCCAACTTTCACTTTTTAACTGTATATTTTTTTAATTGCATTTTTAACCCAACATTTGGGTTAATCCATATTTGACCCAAATTTGTGTTGAAACGACCCAGCATTTTTTAGAGTGCAGTAATCAGCCTGAAAGAGAAATCTGATCGTAAAAGCGGACAGTTTTAAATGTAGTGCCACTTGCATCAACGATGAGAGAAAGTAGTTGTGTTGGATAAGATATTGTGGTCAAAACAATGACACAATTATTCATTGGACCTAAAATTAGGCTTGGTGGTTGTTGCTTATGAGCAAATCTTTTTAGATTTATACTGATACCTAGTATTGTGGATGCAGATTTACACAAAAATCAAATGTTTTCACTATCAAAACTATTGTAGTTACCAATGCCATTCTAATGCATTAACAAAATTGTCCAATAATAGAGACGTCACCGAGATAAAGTCAGTAGTAGCCTATTCAGCTGGTACTGTGATCTCAACATGGCAACCCCTAAATTAGTTTGAGCTAGGTATGTATACATTTGTGTATACATGATTTTGCCAAAATGACTTTTTTCTGTGTAATGAGGGGAAAAAAATACTGAGTGCACCTTTTAAGTGCGTTCCTTTTTATTTGTGTGTGAGAATCATTTCAAATTCCGCCTCTAATGATTTAGGATTGTGTGTTATGTAAAGTTACAGGAACGAGAATCGCTGTATTGATGCTTTGTAACCCAAAAAAGGGAAACTGTGTGTAGCTAAAGGCTGTGTATAGTGGTATTATGATACTATTTCCCTGTATGGCATGATGGTGTAAAACCGAAAGGCTCCGCACACAGGTATTGTTGTATTTTTTAGCTGACTGAACACCCGTGTGTATGTTTAGCTGAACGCTGGGTTGTGTGTTCCTGACAGAGGTGTTGGTGGCGTCCATTTCCCCCTCAGCAGTGACAGAGACAAAATGAAGAAACACATGCTCATAACGCCAAGGATTGCAATGGCAGAAATTAAGGCACTCGTCACTGAATTCATTTTGAATGGAGGTCCGTTCAACTGTGCTGAAACACACACACAAAAGCACACACACACACACAGTGTTAGTAAGACTTCAAACAATATGAAGCCCACCGTTCAAATACTTATCCTGCACTCTCTTTCAATTCTCTTGTTCATTTCTTGATAACACCACCTGCTTCTACCCTCTATTAACTTCTCACTGTTGGAAGCCCTCCAACTCATCGTTATTTCGGTCATGGTTTTAAGCCGTGACATCCTTTAAGGAAAAAAACATTCCTCTATATTTTCAGGAGGGAGTAAGCGTGCTTTTATCCTCCATCAGAAATGCTACAGCTCTGAGATAGAAGGATTTAGCCTCCTTTTAAAAGAGCTAAAGTGGAGGGAAAAGGAAGTCTTACCTAGTTGGGAATTATTGCTGGGAGTTTCATCTGTGGACAGAGGAGAATTGTTTTAGTGACATGGCACATTAATTCCCAAAGACTAATTTAAAGTGATAAATAATGTCTCAAAAATGCTGGGTTGTTTCATCTATGGACAAATATGGGTCAAATGTGGACAAACCCAAATGTTGGGTAAAAATGCAAATAAAAAATGTACAGTTGAAAGTGAAAGTTGAAGTTGGGGTAAAATTTGAAATTACATTTGTAACTTAACATTTGGGTTTGTCCATATTTTACCCAAATTTGGGTTCAAACAACCCAGCATTGTTTAGAGTGTATACATAACAGGATCACTTTGAGAGTTGAGATACAATAACTTACAGTGTACTCAAAGTTGACTTTTTTAGCAGTTTCTCTGGGAATCATACCTGTGAGATACTAAAACACTACATTATAGTTCATATCGTACCACTTCTGGTGATGATGGGTCCAGCGGTCATGACTGCGTTGTCAGAGGCCACACCGGTTCTTTCCAAAGTGTCCCTTTTCTTCCTCTTACCGCATATCTGTCAGGATGCAAATATTTGCGAGTAAAAAATAATTACAGTTCCAACTTGAAGTTTCTTTGCTTTTATATTAAACAAAGTTATATTAAAAAAAGGAAATTAAGCCTATTATTAATAACCAATTTACTTAATGTTTTCCTTTCAAATTCTAATTACTTTAACCGAGCTGTTTTTGTAATTCCCTTTATTTTCACTGGTGACTCTCATTATATTCGCAGCATAAATTAAAGCCAGTGAAACCAAAACTGCATGACGCATATATAATTACCATATTACATTTATTTTCACATGAAAAAAAATGTGAAACAATTTGTTTGTGTTTTCTATATTTACTTCTGAAGGATATTGTGACACATGTAAGGCTGGAGTAATGGCTGCTGAAAATTCAGCTTTGCCATAACAGGAATACATTACATTTAAAAAAAAAAAAGATTAAAATTGAAAAGGGATTTTTTTAATTGTAACAATATTTTACAATAATGCTGTTTTACTGTATTTTTGACAGCCTTAATGAGCATAAGAAACTCCAAACAAATTAAAAACTCCCCAAATAAATAAATAATTTATATAAATAAATAGGTAATTTAAAAAATAATGAAAATATTGTCACAATTTGAAACAAAAAATTTTTTCAAACATTTTGAAAGTCATTTTCTTTGATTAATTTCTTCAGGTTTTAAGGTGAAGTATGACCCAGACATGTTGGCACGTTTCACCTAAAGCAGCCATACTTACAGGCAAGAGCAGGGGGCAGTCGTCAGAGCGACACAGCTTGGTGACGCAGTGCAGAAACACAGTGGACATTTTCTGGTTCTTGTGCTTGACAAAGCGGAACACCTCAAAAGAGAAGCGGCCCATTTGGCTCTTCCCGTTCTCAAACACTGTTGTCTGCGGGTCCTTATCGCATCTGCTGGACCAGAGACAAGATACACTTAGCATTCAGCTTCAGCTCTGCTTATATACACCCACATATCTGAAGAAAACATGGAATTACCCAAAGAAAAGGTCATATCGGAGTTCATCATTAGGATTCCCAGAGGGGGTCGTGTAACAGTAGTCCATCAGAACGTTCCACCTGTGGAGAGTGACATGCGTGAATCAGTCACTAAAACATGGATGCTTGAATAGGTAACCGCCCTATACGACCAAACCACTGTTGTTTCATATAGAAGTCATTTGTCTTATCTGTACTCGGGACCCATAATAATCTTTCCTATTCATTTTAGTGGCGCCCTTCCCTGGCCCTAAACAAGGCCGGCATTGAGTCACTCAGCATTCTTCCTTTAATTGCGTAAACTAGTTCTGGATCTATCTGATATAAGAGAGGAGGTCATTTAGGGAAGTGGTCAAACAATGCAAATGAAAGTCCAAAGACCGTGTGTCTGTCTCAATTTACATTTGACCTCCATCAGATTGTTCATTATGCAGTATCTATCTACATTATGTTTTAGTATGTTGGGCCTCTGCAAGATACTCTTCTACGTTTAACTGTAGTTTACCTCCTGTCTAGGTTGGTTGCTTTTACGGCGGCGAACACTCGTGTCTTCAAAGTCAGTCCAGACATTGGGATTGCAAGATGCTGGATGTATGTGGAGTCCTTAAACAGTGAACACCACAGGTTAGGATCCCACACATGTTTGCTGAAAAATGACAATAATTTGCTACAAAAATATAGAAGTAAGAAATAAAACAAAACATACACCACACACATGCATTATATATATATATATATATATATATACTGTATATATATATATATATATATATATATATATATATATATATATATAAATCACAGTTACAATGTGTCAATTGAGGTTTTTTTTGGTTATATTTCGCTCATTTCTATAGTAGAGACTTCCGAAGTTTTTTCTTATACGGTGTATAGGAATATATAAACAATATAATATTTATTTAAATGTATCATTATTTATTCTATATATAGCAGTATATATATATATATATATATATATATATATATATATGAAGAGTTCAGATGCAAAAGCCTCTAAATGCCATTTGAAATTTTCTTCTTTAATGATGATTTTTATCAAACTTGTATATTTAAGTTCAGTAATTTCACTTAAATAACAATTAATAGGTAATTATCATTGCCATTGAAGTGAAATTACTGAACTTAAATATACAAGCTTGATAAAAATCATAATTAAAGAAGAAAATTTCAAATGGCATTTAGAGGCTTTTGCATCTGAACTCTTCATATATATACACTCTAAACAATGCTGGGTTGTTTGAACCCAAATTTGGGTAAAATATGGACAAACCCAAATGTTGGGTTAAATAAAATGTAATTTCAAATTCTAACCCAACTTAAAACTTTCACTTTCAACTGTACAATTTTTTATTGTATTTTTAACCCAACATTTGGGTTTGTCAATATTTTACCCAAATTTGGGTTCAAACAACCCTATATATATATATATATATATATATATATATTATAAGCCATTTAAGAAAAAAACTTTGGAAGTCTCTACTATAGAAATAAGAGAAAACTAAATTGAGCCATATCAGACATGGACTGGTCACATTCCATTATTTCAATAATGATCAAAAACAGAATAACAATATTTAGTTTAGGTATTGAGCACAGTGCAAAAGACGTAGATAAATCTCTATGTATGGCTTAATTAAAAATGATACTGATGTTCTACATGTACTCACATTGTATAGAAGTAAATTCAACGTGCTCACAAAAGTGCCATTGCTGTCCTTCACTGATATCGCCGCAGCTGACCTTCGAACAAAAGAATCTATTAAAACATAATAAATATAGTTTGCAGGCCAGTTAAGTCTGAAAGGAAAACTTGTGTAATAGTTTTTCCTGATTTACTGCCTGATGTCCTTGCAATCAACCCTGCATTAGGTTGTTCAACATGTTCTAGTGCATTCTAATTTAATTATGCCTCACAATTCAGCCCATTAAATCTGAACAATACGTGCTAAATATTTTACAACATGCAATTTGTTACCTTTTTATCTTTCCCCAAAATATTGTGAATAATTTAGCATGAATTGTTTTTTAACAAGGACAGAATAATGCATTGGTTTTGAAATGCAGTACTGAATATATATCGTCATTCTACAGTGATGAAGCCGACTTACGAAGCAAGCTGTGTGTTGTTGACCAGGTATTCCAGTGGGTAACTACAACTGAATTTGTAAAGCAGTCCTGGTAGATAGCTGATGACCGTTGGGGGATCCGGAGTGTCGATGTATCCGGCTATATTCCCAATCTGAACCAGGGAAAGATTCCCATATGCGTTGGGCCCCTGAGCTGTTGAGACCTACAGACACAGTGGCACTAAACTGTGATTGCTATTCCTGAAACGAATGTACATTCACCTCCATAATCCTCAGCCTTTTCATCAATGCCGTCACCAAACCAAAGATAAATCCACCTCACCACAGATGTTCTTCATTTATAACTGTCATTGAGAGAATACTGTCTCTCCAAACACAAGCTGTTTTACTGTAACAAATGTGTTTTCCTACAAATGAGTGAACCTGAAAGGAAAGTTCTAGGTCCTTTAGGGATATGCTAATGATTGTAGGTCGTTGAAAATTGTGAAAACAGGTGGTTTCTTACCACCAGTGCGTTTCCGCAAGCCTCCAACGTGCTGAGACTGATGCTGAAGAGCACAACAGTTGGGAACGTGTTGTTGTTGATGAACCCTCGGCAGTGGGCATCACCGTGACGCCCGTTCAGTGCCAGGTCAGTGTCGGTGTAGCCAGAGAAAAGCACCGGGCAAAAATTAATCTTCAGCGTAATGGTCTGCACTCCACAATACACGCTGATGTCCCGCTCAGCTTTTGAGAGAGAATGAGATATAATTAATTACATGTCACTGATTAAAGCTCGCACAAAAAAAAAAAAAACAGAAAGACCTCACTCACCGGGGAAGCGGCTGTGAAAGTTGGCATCGCAGTTGAACCCATTGAATTGCGCGCTGGCTATAAAAGTTTTACTTACAAGCAGAAGAATCACACACAAACGTTCCATTTCAGCGCCTGAGAAAGACAATGTAGGAGCAATTTCTTTGGATTCATCAGAAGATGCTTCTTTTTCTGAAATCAGAGAAGAAATGCATGATTAGACTCTCTTCAAAAGGTAATTTGACGGCTTTGTTCTGTAATTACGCTATTAAATTAGAAGAAAACGGATCGAAAATGAGAAATCCGATCCTTTTGTTGGTGCTTCTGTTCAATTTCAAACCAATAATGAATGGAAATTGCTTTGAAGTGCTATTGCACAAACTTTGGGAACAAATCAACTCACCTCAATTTATATATTCAAAAAGCTGCAAATCTATTCAATCAGATTCACTTCCTGTAGGCATTTGTTAGTATGATGCTTTTACTCAGAGTTCTGCGTGTTTCACCCTGACCTTGGTCCACTTTTGCCCTCCGTCTGCTTTAGCATCCCTCGCTCCGTTTCGGAAGACTCACCCGTTTCCCTGGCAGCTGTAGAATCAGCGGTACTCCATCTGTTCTCGGCTGTGGCGCGAGACTGACTGAATTACCCAGCATCCCGGCAAAACAACTAGAAACACGGCCTTGCTCTGAGGGGACAAAAAAAATAAACATAAGAGATTCATTATTTGAACACGTCAACAGCAAAAGCGCTGTCTGGGGGAACATGGGAAAGTCCATCAAAAGTGAATGTGTTATACAAATCCTTTCACGGGCCCAGAAACATGAGCAGGTTTTGAAGTTTCCCACTCATATCCTTTCTGCTTGATCTTGCTCTGTCAGCGCTCACAAGTGGCCCCACGCCGCATGTGGCCTGTGAGGGGGGGAATTATCTTTTCATCGGCTCCGGGACTGGGCTCGTCGCTGACTGAGCTGGCCTTTCTGTGTGCCAGGACGGTCTGGGTCGGGACCAGGATTGTCTGGACGCTTTAGATGCTTTGTTTGGCCCAGCTCAGTCAGCACTTCCCCAGCCGCCTCCCATGATGGCATCCCACCTGTCTGGCCGTGAACCCCCCGACTGCTACTCTTGGCCTTACGTCAATTGTTGGCTAATGTACCCTACATGAGAATCTATATCACAAAAATGTGGTCTAAACACTCATGTTTCCATTATCTGCACGATGTTCCGACCCTTCCAAATTTATAGCAGACTAATATTTCATCAAATTAGCTGCCATTTATACATCATCATTTCCAAAATGCCTTTAATCTGCATGATTAATTGCCTTGGAAATGTCTCTACGGTCCATCATTGCAGCAAAAGGGGAAACTTGAATGATTTCATTGTCCGTTCTTACCTGATTAATCAAAGCTCAAGATGTTCGGGCTGCAGGCCAGCTCCAGCTGCAATACATCATCAGAAAAGTCGCTTGTCAATCTGTGCAGAATACAATCCGAAGGAGAAGAATTTTCAAAACTATGCAATGCCATCCCAAACTGTTTAAATCCTAAATCCTCCTCGGATCTCACAGAGACACGGATCGGATGAAGCTCTGAGCCCCTTCGGCTAGAACTCTGGCGAAGTTCACCTCACGTCTTAGAATTTCTTCAGATGGAAGGGATTGTGGGTAAAATGGAGCTGTTGGTCTATAGCGGGGCAATTCAGTAGGCTATTTGTGATAAGTATCTCTATTTATGCGCTTCCAGCAAATGTCATTCTTTCATTTTTCACACTTGAATGTCTCTATATGGCAGGCTATAGTGCTGTTTATCAGTGTGGCACAATCTCATTCACCTTGGCAAGATATCAGGGCAGGCAGAACTGGAAGGATTTCCACATCATGTTACTGCATTTACACTCTAGGATGGCAAGTCTTTATAAGTTAGACGGCTAACACAAGTTAGACGGCTAACATCTTTATAACTTTATAACATAATTATTTATTTATCTTTGCCAAACGGCATCCTTGGATAATATAAGCCTTTAAAACATTATAGGCTATATGTTCTTGAATGTTTGACAAGCTGTTCATTGCTCAGTTAATAGGTCTAGAACAATTACAGGATGGTTTTATAGTTTACAAATGTTTTTTTGGGACACAAATAGAATGAGGAAATGGCCTATCAAAGCCACTGGGAGGAATTGTGTTTACGAACACGATTATACCGTATCGCAACACAAATGCTATTTCTATTTTTATTTGGATGGCATTTGGTCTTGCCTCATTTTCTTGTATTTTTTTATTTATTTATCTGATGGCTTTATTCAGAGTGCAATGAATAATGTGGGTCATTAGGAGGTAAGTGAGAAAGTTAGCAATGCAATATAAAACCAAAAATAACAGGAATGAGTGACAATGGCATATCTAACCTTTCTTGAGGTCTTTAGTGTAACCAACAGTAATATTTGATCACCCTCTCTTAACAGAATACTATCTGCATATCTTGTGTCATAAATCAGAGTATAGTTTCTGAGGAAACGCATGACTCTTTCTTAGCAGGTTATAAGTAATTACTGTTTTTTTACTTGCCCTGTGAAATGCCCTCAGTAGGCTGGCAAGTAGGCGTCAGGCCCAGTGCATCAATCACTGCGGCCTGCATGGAATTAGGAACTATGAGCAATCTGTCTCTGTTTGGTTGTCATGGCTATCTGGCAGACGGGATACGTCTGGTCTAGTGAGAAGCAGAAAAAAGCAAAAGAGGAATTTTAAACAAGGGAATACACTTTTGGTGGCATGCAAACCACAAGTTGTGTTAATTGCCTCTGTCTCAAGGAAGACATGTGACCAATGAAAACTAACTGAACGTCCATGAAAACAGAAACTAAAAACAGACAAGACTGAGTGTGTGTGACACAAAGATTCGGTTTGCTTTGTTGCTTGATTGTGCCATGTTTATTCATAATGGTTTTAACTGGAGGCACAGTTGAAACTTGTTGAAATCTTACTGAAATGAATTAAGGCTGTTAATGTTGCAAATTAGCCTACATGAGAAAGACTTAAAAGGGACACTCCAATTTTTTTGGGGGGAAATAGGCTCATTTTACAACTCCCCTAGAGTTAAACTGTTGGGTTTTACCATTTTCGAATCCATTCAGCCGATTTTCTGATATTTAGAAGAATATCGGAACCAGTTTCTGGTCCCATTGACTTCGGAAATTTTTTTTTCACAGTGGTGACTTCGGAAGTCAATGAGACCAGAAACTGTTTCTGGTTACCGATATTCTTCTAAATATCAGAAAATCAGCTGAATGTACTATGGAAGTCAATGGGACCAGAAACTGTCTGGTTACTGATATTCTTCTAAATATCACAAAATCGGCTGAATGGATTCGAAAATGGTAAAACTCAACTGTTTAACTCCGAGGGAGTTGTAACATGAGCCTATTTCAAAAAAAAAAAAAAAAGTGGAGTATCCCTTTTAATGGGGCTTACTCAAAATCAAGTTAAAACATTATGAACTATACGAAAATAATCATCATAATACAGAGGGAACAGAAATACCAGAAAGGGCACATCCTGATTTTGCCGAGTTGATATTTTGTTGATCCTGGAACAACATTCCAACATTTAGTCCTAACTATGCCCTAACCCTATAAGTTATCCCTAAAACCAGAGGAAAATGTTAGTGAATAATGCTGATGTAGAAGCACCTAACCCTGGTTGTAAGCCTAAACTTGACAAACTTGTCCCTCAAATCTGATTGGTGGATTGGAATGTTGTTCCAGGATCAACAATGTTAATCCAGGAACATATTGCACTTGGTGAAATCATGTTCTGCAACATAAGGACAGATAACACAGCTGAAATGTTCACCATGTTTCTAATATTGAAACAAGTCAGCTGTGTGCAGACAAAGATGGAGTGTGAAAAAGAGAGAGGAAAGTCTGTCAGTGACAGGATTATGGCCTCTGTCAGGTACAGTGCAGATGAAAATGTTTGTATTGTATTGTCTGTCACAGCGGCCAACTTTGTTACCTCCTATTCTTGTCAGCAAAGAGAACATTGCTATGTAAGCCTTCATCCAACACAGACACAGTTATATCTGCTGTTGAATGGGGTCATATAGCACATGCTATAAAAAAAAAAAAACATATCCATGTCGAGCATCTGACATATATATATATCACTTTTCTCCTCACACCCTTCGAATGACCCATTTTATACACTAAAAAAATATATGATCAATAAGTTATATCAACATATGTTAACCTATAAGTTAACCTATTTGCGACTTTTTTATGTTATACAAGAATCAAATAATTTTTTAAGTCAGTAAGGCAATTTAAGCTGAAATGACTTAAACATCCAAGTTGATTGTACTTAAAAATTTAAGGCAGCAACTTTTGTTCACAGTCTTTGAGGTAAATCTATTTCTTTAAATGTTCAGTTTCACAATTCAGACATTTCTATTAAAAAATAAGATGTTTTGTTTAATACATGACTTCCACAAGGTTAACTTAAGAATGCTTGAAGCAATAATTTTAGGTCAGAATGAAAAAGCAATATTAGTCAACAATATCTTAATCTGTCCCTTAAATTAATCAGATCAGGTTCAATGATATGATTAATTTGTAATTTATCATTGTTTTATAAACATTAAATTGTAAATAGTCTATATCGAATTAAATACAATTTTCTTAAAAAGTATCATTTATAAGGGTTTATACTGAGCGCTACTGTGTAAAAAGCACTCTGAAGCGGGTGGGAGTTAATAGTTCAATCACTGCTGGACAGAGTTTGAGGAAACTTTTGTGCATGTGAGAGATATCTATTGGACTAAACAGACAGAAAAGCTGTGTTTCTGGTCCCAGGTGGCAGAAATCACAGGATGCCTTATTGTTCATGTGTGAAACACAAGACATGTGGTATTCAGACCTGAGGGACACACCTTTTCATTATGAGCCATATCTATAACCAGCTCTCTCCTCACAGACAGAGATTCATAAAAACAGCATACAAAATATCAGTGTGTCAGGATTGTAATGCAAGATCTCAAAATGCAGTATGCACATTTTTAATAATAATAATGAATATTATATGATACAAAAAATTATATGAAATAAAAACGTTTTTAAAATAAAATAAAAAAATAATAAAAATAAATAAATAAAGGAGAAATAAAGAAGAAATAAAGAAATAAAAAAAACTGTTTTTAACACTACTATCACTACTACTAAAATAAAAATAATACAATAATTAGTAGTAGTATACAAAATAATTATTTAATACAGAACATTACTATAAAGACAGTGTTTGTACTTTAATGCAGATAATAAAAGATATTATCAATTTTGAGTAGATGTCAAAGTATCCTGAAAGTTAAAGATAATACAAACTATTGAACTTTCTATAATAAGGTATAGATATCTGTAATAATGATAACAATTATTATCATTTTTTCTAAAACTTATATATTATTATTATTTAAAAAATGGTGAATCGGTACTGTAATACAGAAAATAATTAAAAACTGCATTTTTCTATATTATTATTATTTAGGGTATTGTTTTTAGTAATACAAGCTCTTAGCATTTGGTGAAAATTGTATGCCAAAGGATCCTGAAAGTTATATATTATATGTATTAAGTAAAATATAAATACAAACTTGTGAAATGTTGTCCAGAATTTCGGTAGAATATGTTCTGTAGGGCCTATTGAAAAAGATGGCATGCACCTGCAATCTCTCAAATGGATGTTGTCAAAATGCTCTTGAAAGTTTGTGAATAAGGACATACAGTAGAAACCTGCATGTGCACATCGCCCTCTACCGGTAAGACTGCAACACAATGAACACTGATGCCACCTGTGCACAAGTCAATCTGCTCGGCCCATTTAACACAGACGAGTCTCGTCTTGAAACCGATCAGTGCTTTTGGCATTGTGCATTAGTGGCTCATTCAATCTCTGAGACATTCCCCTCTCCTTTTCCTCAGTTTGAGTTCTAATTACAACAGTGATCTGAATATTGGGATGCTTTACAGCATGCACATATCAAATATGATTTTAAAATGTGTGGGTAGGCTATTTAAAGGTGCTATATTAATTTTTTAGCGGCCTCTATCTGTGATTTTCAGATTGCAACCAATTTTTACAAGAGCGCTCATGCTCGAACACGAGTGAGCACTCAAGGTACTGGCCACATCTAGCGTAGCCTAAGGCATTACACTAACTATTCGTGTATCTTTCACAATCAGCAATGTCAACATAGGTGAATGTATAAAATGATAAAGGAAAACGGTCATTGAACTAGACTGAACAATTTCAGTGTAACAGTAAGATCATAGGGAGTAACATTACTGTACTGAACGTTTTTTAAAAAATTAAAGTACAGTTAAAAGTATGTTTTCAAGTATATATATATATAAAAACGTTAACATGGTAGGCCTACTGCGAGTGCAAATATAATATATACAGTAAATAGTAAACTAATAATAAGTTCACTTTAAGAAAACTCTCAGTAAACTACTTGTTTAGTAGTTTTATATTGCAAGTATATTTTTACTTCAAATTGTACTTCCATAAACTAAATATTTTTACAAGTATTAAAAGTAAACTACCTACTAGTGCCCATTAGTTCACTTGCTGTACAAATGAGAAGCGTAGCTAATTATGAACTACCTGTGTACTTAAAGTTTACTATTGTTACACTTATAGTACACTTAAACATATACTTTTATATACCAAAAGTGGGCCAATTTAGTCCCAAGGGTATTAAAATACACGTTTATTATAGCCTACAAGTAAATATTGACATTAGTATACTTACTACATAATGTAGGCCCTATACTTGATTAAATGAACTTTTTTCGTAAGGGTAAGTATAATCAACTACTGTAATTCACACCAATTATTTAAGCTCTTTATTTATCGACTGCCTTAAAACACCATTTTTTCCTCATCCTCAAGTAATGGTTTCTGTATACTTGCATGTTTCTATCACTAGATGTCTCTGTACTTGCATGTTTCTATCACTAGATGTCTCCCTTTTGTAATATTTTGTAAGGAATGAGCATGGGAATGAGTCAGAAAGCCAAAGAAATCCATGCACTGAGGGAAATGAATGTAAAATGCTTATGTATTTGATTGCTTCGCACAAGTGAAACAGCTGGAAATGAGTAATAAGTAATTCATTTATTAAATGATGAAAACTGGAAAACTTTATCTTCCCTTTTTTATTTTAGATTATTATATTAGATTAGATTCCTAAATTATTGTGAAGATTTCTACTGAATACTGTGTATGAGTGTATCCGTACTTTCTAAGCTAGGCTACTTGTAAATTAATTGCTTATATTGAATTATGTTTCACTCTTAGGTTAAATTAAGACATTTAATCAATGACATGTCAGTTATGTTAAGAAAATATTTACGAAGAAGAATAGTATATCACAGTCACTATATAAAACCATGAAATTCCGTCACGTGAACCGTCGCCCTGGTAGATAATACACAGAATCTGTGCATCTAGAGCCGCCATTTTGGCTCACGAGTCAAATCGTGGTAATCACTTTCTACGTAGCGTGAGAACTCCGGCCTTATGATTAGAGCCAACATGGCGTCGTTAGGTACAAACCATCCAACATCCATATAAACCTTGGGAGGATCCTCTGAAAAGAGGAAACAGACCCGCCATTTTCCTACGAGCCTTTTAAACCCAGCAGGGGGAGGCAAGATCCGATAGGAAAGCCACTGAGGAGGAAAAAGTGGGAGTTAGAGAGAAAGAGAGAGAGAGGGGGTGAGAGGAGAGGGAGAGTGCGTGACAGAGGGGTTGAGAGAGAGGACGCTGCTGTTAATAGAGGAGGAGACGTTTGGTATGTAAATGTCGCGATCAGCTGACGACATACATACAGAGCAAACTTAATTTGGACTGTCTAAAGAGCCGGATGCGTCTTCCTCGCAATCTCATTTATTTTCACCCTTTTTTCCCAGTCAGGTGGCGGAACAGCGTACATCCCAGGGACTAGCAGCATTGCCGTTGGATTTAACAGCACGAGTATACATTTCCCCCCCTCTTTTGTTATTATCCCCCTTTTTCTGTTTGTTTAAAACTGCGAAGATGTCTGGACAAAGCATAACGGATCGGATAACGGCAGCGCAACACAGCGTTACCGGTTCCGCGGTGTCCAAAACGGTGTGCAAGGCGACCACGCACGAAGTCATGGGGCCAAAGAAGAAGCATTTGGATTGTAAGTGTCATGGGATTTTGTACTATGTTGCTATCAGAACCGCGTTTGAAAGTTACGTCAGTCACTCACTCGTCGCCCTGGGAACGAGAGGTTCAGTTCGGGGCTCGAGGCCTGCAAAAGATTCCTGTTCAGTGCTACTAGTTTTATTTAAACAGCTTCCTCCAGCGACCTTTGCTGATGTTCAACCTGTGACTAGTTATCATTTGTGTCTCATTTGCATGGAGTTTTCAGATAGCATGCGTACAGTGTACGTTTAATGTGAGTACATTTAATGATTTAAGTTGCAAACTAGTCTCATAATTAAACGTAATTGAAAAATGAGCCCATCTGCTGTCTAATTAGGACACTTGCAGATTGAGTCGATGGATTCATTGAGAAATCTGCAAACAAACGTGCATTTGCTGAACAAGAATACCATTCATACTTTTTGTCTTTTGATTTGGCAAAACGTAAAATGCAGCATGTTTTATTAGTCACTTTGCAATGTTACTATTGTGATTTTCTTAAGTAATGGTGCAAAAAATAAAAATACTGTCATTATTTCCTTAACAGTAAAATATATATAGCCTATAAAATACAATATACTTTACACACAGACATTAAGGCATTAGCATTAATTGCAGAACGTTTAAACTGCTTTTTTTCCATATAGTGAAAAGAATAGGAAATATAGCTGTCAAGCATGGTTTTCAGTGATGAACAAAAGGGATAGTTCACACAAAAATGAAAATACTATAATTAATTACTCGCCCTCATGTCATTCTAAACCCGTAAGACTTTAGTTCATCATCAGGAATAAAATCTGAGACCTTTCGGTCCCTCCATAGACAGCTACGCAACTACCACTTTGACACATCAAAAAGTTCATAAAGAGATCATAAAACTAATCCATATGAATTAAGTGGTTTAGTTCAAATTTCGCTTTATGATGAACAGATTTAATTTAGGCTTTTATTCACATTTAAACATTGATCAGCCAACATAAACGGATGTGAACCTGCTTGACGCGCAAGTACAAACCTTCAGGTTCTTTCAGAAGCTCAAACGTGCTGCGTAACACGTGAATAAACCTCATTGGTTCTTGCGGAAGCCCAAACATTCTGTGTAAAGGCTCTTTTATAGTCTAGTTCGGATGTGTACATGGACTACTTGTATTTTTACTACTGGAAGTGCCCTTTGAAGCTGCACTGAAAGTTAGTTATGAACTATATTTTCCAAGTCTTATAAAGCAACTGGATAGTTCACCCTATGGATTTGGTGTTTCATGGCATTGCATGGTACTTTTTGGACTTACATCCACTTACATTGTGGATAAAAGCAGTTTAGACATTATAATACTGACAGAGACTTTGGAGTCTGCCACAAACCGTCTAGTTTTTCAGCTCTTTGGTTAAGGTTAATATCACAATTAAAGTGAAGAACATGCTGACTGTTAGAAGTTATGCAACATTATTACTGTGGCAGGTGTTTATTGAGGAATGTGTTGTAAATGACAGTGTTGTGTCATGTAAACTTTTAACTTTTTATGTAGATGTCATATTTATTGCTGAGTGAGATTTTCTCAAGTCTCCCACAGGTGCTGATAGGTTTCATAGAGCCTGAATTATGCAGTGTTTTCTTATATTTCTAAAGAAGAATGGCCTCATTTAGGAGTCAGGACCCATCTTGACCAATTTTAGTCCTGTGATTTGTGAGATTTGATGCCTTTGATTAACTCAAACTGCATTTGGCAATTAATCAACTGCAGTTTGTTCTTAGATATGTATTTTAAACTATATGTGTGTAAGTATTTTTGCACAAATGTCGGTGATTGAGGCGCCATAATTTGAGTCAAATCCAGGCTGGTGGCACGACCACATCAAGCCTCTCACCGCACACTGCTTGTTTACTTATAGCTTTTTGCTTTCGTTCCCACCCTACAGTGCTAATTTCCTCATGGCGAAACTATTTTTAACTAGGTCTTCTTGACAATACAGAATGGCATGTGTGCTGACAGACAGTTTTTAAAGGGGAAGAGAGGAGTTCTGAACTGTAAGACAAAGTGGGGGTCAGACGTAATTGCCTTCCTCCCTTAAGTTAAAAGTATGTGCTTAATGCTTATGTTAAGTTCTTCGCGATCTTTACGTCAAGAACATTGTTCCACGGTAGACCGGTTACCCTCAGGTTAGTTCCCGTTGCGTGGAGAGTGTGACGAGGTCTTGTAGGTATTTCAGGACTGCAGTGTGTTCTGTGCCTGGAGTTTCCTTTGGGACAGAAATAGCAGTTTGTTTCACTCTCCTTCTGTTTGATTGAACATTAGATATGGCTCCGACTCCGGCTCCGGCTCCGTCCCACAGCCTCTTTGATTTGGGCCGGGTTTCCGGGGTAGGGAGAACATTCCTCTTCAACTACCCTTATTCCCAAAATGACCAGCTGGCTGAAAAAATGTCCTCCAATTGTTTCTTCGTGTTTTAGTTTAGGAAAACATTTTAGGTAAAAACAACGTTGTAAAAAATAATTTATGTTTCATTTAGTCACAAAAATGTCTTTGTACTTTCACTCTAATCTAATATACAAATAAAGAGATGTTGATTTAAAGGAGTAGTTCACTTTAAAAACAACTTTTGCTGATAATTTACTCACCCCCATGTCATCCAAGATGTCCATGTCTTTCTTTCTTCAGTTGAAAAGAAATGAAGGTTTTTGATGAAAACATTCAAGGATTTTTCTCCATATAATGGACTTTACTGGTAAGGTCCAAAAGACATGTTCAGTGCAAACTACAAACGTTTCAACGGGCTTTAATTGATTCCAGACGATGAATAAGGGTCTTATCAAGCGAAACGATTGCTCATTTAAAAACAACAAACTAAGTTTAAGTTTTATAAGCTCAAATGGTCACCTTGCTCTGTTCTGTGATGCGCGTTCGTGACTCTCCTGTTCGAACTCGTTCATCAAAATGAATGAATCTTTTTTCGTGTCATTTGGTTCAGTCAACAGACGAAATGAACGAATTGACTCGGAAAAAGATTCGTTGGAGAACAATCCTTGAATGTTTTCATCAAAAACCTTAATTTCTTTTCGACTGAAGAAAGAAAGACTTGGACATCTTGGATGACATGGGGGTGAGTAAATTATCAGCAAAAGTTTTTTTTTTTTTAACTGCTCTTTTAATTAAAAAATATCAGAATGTAAGTTTAATTTTCGGCTTATCACGAAGTTTGAGTTTACCAAATTAAGGCTAACTTGTTTTTGTTATTGCTGTGCCTTAAACAGTACATTCTTTTATGTCCATATGTGGACGTCGGCTTCTGTTCCATAATGTCCACCAGCATTAGTCAGTGTGTTCAGTTGCATTTAGCCTAAAGGAAATACAGAGCGCTCACTATACTGCTGAAGCTTTAAATGTGATGCTGGTTCACATTGGTTCAAGTGTGTAATTTCTTCTCTGCTAGCAATTTGAAAATACTAACACCCCCTCCATCTGCTAATGGCTGGGCAATCAGTTGGTCCCTCTCGCCCATAATACAATTTTGCATGCTTCACATTTTAAAGCGATAGTGCTCCCAAAAATGAAAATTGTCATCAATTACTAATTTTGTTTTTCTCACTGTATTTTTAATGTAACTTGAGAAATTCCTCCAGAACAAACCTCATTTGCTAAATTTGATGTACTCTATGTATGCTTGTTGATCAATGTTAATACATAACATGATTATGTATAAAAATGTATTTAAAAAAATGTAATTTAACCTGTCATATAAAGCATTAAAACTCAATTTATTCACTTTTTTTATACAATTTTTATGAAGCATCAAAATTTGGAAGCATCAAAGTTCAGTGGAGGGACATCTCTGATTTTTAAAAAAATATATTTATGTGTGTTTCAAAGATGAATGAAAGTCTTCTGGTTTTGGAATGACATGAGGATGAGTAAATGATGAAATAGGCTAATTTTAATTTGGTGAAATATGCCTTTAACAGTTATTTAATTTTAAACCAGCATGACACTATGTTGTAATGCATCTATTTACAAATGAACCTCTTTTTTTGACTAGAAAGTATTTCGATTTTTGTATTGCCTATTTTTTTCTGCAACTGCTATGTTGTGTTTGAATGCATATATTTTTTATTTGGTCTTTACAGTGGATGGAAAGTTGACTGATTCTAAAAAATGGCCCATGGATATAAATAGTGTGCAAACTTCCTTGTGCTGATGGTTTAGTGTGTAAACTGGTGGATTCAGCATGAGAGATTGGATGGGCAGTTGTTGAATTTATTTAAAGGTGATCATCACACACACATACACAGACAGTACACACACCATCAACCGCAGACCTTCCACTTCTGGAAGCCATGACTTGTGTAAGTCATGTTGGCTGGCCTTCCGTGCCCCAGTGCTGTGTAAGCAAGTTCTGTGGGATCGAGGCTTATTCTGGGTGCTCATTCATATCAGTCAGTTCTGCAATATGATAGACGCTTCCTAGAATCTGCCTGAGACCAAATGCCACACACACACTCGCTTATCTTTACAGATTTAAAATACACAGCCACTCCTAGCAAACTTTGTGCTTGAATTGAATTAACTCGTTGTGTTTTCATCAGATAGCTTTATTTCTTACAACAGCAAAGCTCTTCATATAAGAATGTTTGAGATTATATAGTGTTTATCACGCAGTGTAGTGTACTTGATTGCTGGTCCAGAATGTAGTCAAAGCAAAAATGATATTATTTTGTCCACCTGGATACTGCTGAAGTTTTTCAGGATGTGAAATGCATCTTGTCTGATGAACCGTCTATAGCCAGCGGAAATCGGATCAGTTATGTTGTAATCGTAGATTAAAGTGCTCTCATCTTGATTGGTGTTCTACGGTTTAGTCTCCATATTTGCGAATACACCCTTAAGCCCAATTTTGAGGTTGAAGTCACTGAGCGTCTCTGCGTCTACCAGGTTTTAGGGCGGGAAAGCTTATGTAGCGTTCTCATCCCATCAGCGTGGTTACAACACCCATAAAATGTCA